ACACACTACAAGTGGATGCCTTTAACAAACAGGGATTTACTCTCTTATGGTTTGAAAATCCAAATTCAGAGGGCCAGCTCCAGGGGATGGGTGAAGGCCCTTCGACTTTGGGCTTCAGCTCTGCCTTTTATTCCAGGCCCACTGAAGCTAGAGTTGTCTCCTAACTCAGGTAGATGCTGACTGCTGAGGCTGATGAACCCCAAGTCAGCAGGTAAAATGACACAGTCCCAAGATCAGCAGGCAACACAGCAGGCCACTGGTTCAAGTCCAGGAACTGGAGATAAAGATTCAGCCAAAGGCAGGATCCAAGTGTGCCAAAAGCTAAAGACCTCCCTCAAAACTCCTCCAGACATATACTGAAGCAGGCCACACCACAAAGGCAGCTCCCTTTCCACTGATTAATGTCTCATAGCAGATTCCAACATGGAGATGATTAAATATCATTGGGAGTAACTACATTGAGCTGCCAAGCACTCAAAACCACAGTCCAGCCAAGATGACACACAACCTTAAGTACTACACTAGGCTTGGGCCCATTGTCACAGCTACTATGTCAGTCCATCTCACTGACGGTCTTCCCCTTTTTCGCTGATCCTCTACCTTACCTAGTATGATATCCTTTTCCGGGGACTGGTTCCTTCTGATAACATGGCCAAAGTACAGGAGATGAAATCTGGTTATTCTTACTTCTAAGCAACATTCTGGCTATACTTTTTCCAAGACAAATTTGTTCATTCTTTTAGCAGTTTGTGGTATGTTCAATATTCTTCACCAAGACCACAATTCAAATGCATCAACTCTGTGGTCATCTTTATTCATTGTTCAGCTCACACATGCATACGAATCTGCTGAAAATACCACATCTTGGGTAAGGCACACCTTCATCTTCAAGGTGACGTCTTTGATCTTTAACTCTTTAAAAGAGATCTTCTGCAGCAGATTTGCCCAATGCAATGCGTACTTGACCTTGGCAAGCTGAGTTTTCAGTTTATTGGGGTTAATTTACCCTAAGGCTCTTATCTGTCCAAAGGAAGAAAGCATAAAGGCAGTAAAGAGAAAACTAGATTGAAAGTTTTAAAGGCTGCTTCAGCTTTCTTTTTCTAAGTGAGTAAAAACATTTTGTAAATGGCCACTAAGTAGGGGTTAGCAGGGTACTGGGTAAAAACACACACATCCTTTAAAGCTAAATGGAGTATATTAAAAGTTTCAAATGCCTATACTATTAAGCACCAGAAATCAAAGTGCTTTAGAAAGCTCAGTTTAGAGAGCTAAGTCATTTGCCTGAGGAATTAAGAAGTCATTTTAATTTTTTCCTCTGAATGTATGTGTTAAAAACATTGTCAATTTAAAAAAAAAATTTTTTTTCAATGGGAAGAAGTGAGTTTAACCCTGATCTTAAAGTCTCTTCCATTCAACTGAATGGCATATTCTGATATGATGACAATAAATATTCCAAAAGTTTTTGTTCTGTGTTTTTCAAATTAGAAGAACACCACTAGTGCACAGAAGACTGAGTCAATTAAGAGTTAATACTGTACCAGTGATGTGCCCACAGTTGCCTACAAACTGATTGATTTTAACTCTCCATGCTGAGTAGGGAAATGTTCTAAAAATTAACCAACAGTCCATAACAATCTTCTCTCAGATAAATTTAGTTTGTTACACATTGGGAAATGTAAATTCTCAGAATTCAAAAGTTCTCTGGAATTTTTACCAGTTACACGTTTCTTTTCATTCCTCTAGCAGAGCAGTTCACTTAACTACTGATAGAGAAAAACTTCAGATAGGATACTACACCACTCTCCCCACTCCATGGTGTAAGCCACAATATATTTGTCAAGAAGCCAAATTATAAAGCTATTAATTAAATGGCAAGCATTCTTATGAAAACAAGCATACATGTTAAACTGGTTAATTTTCATTATTATAAAGTGATTAGATGTTCCCAGAGTGGCTCCTGAAGTTAGGAATTTATCAACACCAATGCAGAAGTGCATTTTCATTCAGCAATGGTAATTTTGGGGGCAGATTTCAATTATACTGGCCAGAAAGTTAAAAAAGACACCTGACTGTTAAAATTACTACAATCCAGTGATTTTCAAAGTAGTTAATTCCGTATTCTTCATGTGCAAAATGTTATAGGGATTAGAAAATAACCTTAGTTTAGAACTTAACATTCTGTTTTGCTTAAAAAAAAATCAACATCATACATACTTAAAATTCAAGTCTGTGAAATCAACATAGATATCTGTGTGATCCACTTCCTATTCATCATCTTCAGTCACTCATTTCATATTGATCAGTGAAGTAAAATTATTCTAATACATAGCAGTGGTAGTCTTAAATCTTGTTCTTTCTGGGCTTGATGTTCACAAATGTAGGACACCTGGAATAAAACTCACTCCCAGGGGCAGGCTCTTAGCCCAATGGTAAACAAGATGTACACACAGACTACTCAACCCAGGGTGACTCACCCACATACTCTATGGAAATGCATCTCAGAGGAATCGACCACAGGGCACAGGGCACCAGAGGGGCAACATTCGAACACAGGAAATGCAGGACACACAGGAGTGCATAACTATGAGGGGCATGGGGGGGAGGGGCCCCTACTGAGCAGGGAAGGGAGGAGACTCGGTTAGGGTTGGAGGGTTGGGGATGGTAAATGGGGAGTGAAACTAATTGTACACGAAACGTAACTTGAATGTAAAACAAACTCTGCTCTGTAAACTTGCACCTAAAAACACAATAAAAAAAAAATGTAGGACAAGCAATTTCTAACTAAAATCCATAATCATTTCTAAATTGGTCTATTATACAACTTACTATAGGTGTCCTATGTGGTTAAAGAAAGATGTTCAATCAAAATTCACTTAACAATTATTATTTATGTACCATCAAAACAATAATAAAAGTAACCTACAATCCAGTAATTCTACCCATCTAAATATTTTAGTAGAATGCAGGCACAAAATGAGCTCTGGTAGTGTAGTGCCTAAGGCACTTGACTGCTAACTAGAAGGCTGGAGGTTCAAAACCACCAGCCACTCCTCAGAAGGAAGGTTGGGCAATCTACTTCCGTAGTGATACCGTTTTGTCACTATGAGTCAGGTCTGACTCGGTGGCACATAACAACAGCAGACCCAAAAAACCTTATTAATGATGTTATCAATCAGATTCCACGATTTTTTTAAAAAAAGTACTTTAATATACTGAGAGGGGATGAAAAAGAATAAATATTAATTATTAAGAAACTACTCTATGCTAGATGTTTTACATATGACATTCAATTTTCACAATACTGTAGTTATGGAAGATCACTTCTGGTTCAAACAAGGGCTCTGGAGCTAGGCTCACTTACTAGACGAGTGACCAGAGTCAAATTACTTACACTGCCTGTGCCTCAGTATCTTCATTTGTAAGATGGGGATAAAAAGAGTATCGACCTCATAGCATTGTTTCCAAGATTAAGTAATACATGCAAAGTAGCTAGAGCTCAGCATGGCACTATTATTATTAAAACAATTATTATTCTTATTATTAACGTAGGTATTTTTGTCCCTATATAACATGACGAAATGGCAGCTGATAGAGTGTATTTTGGGAGCTCTGGTAGCATAGTGCCTAAGGCACTTGACTGCTAACCAGAAAGCTGGCGGTTCAAACCCACCAGCCACTCCTCAGAAGGAAGATGGGGCAATCTACTTCCGTAGTGATACTGTCTCGGAAACCCAAGGAGGGGTCGCTATGAGTCGGCTTGGACTCAACAGCAAATAACAACAGAGTGTATTTTACCGATAATCCTACAACTAGTGTTAGGTTCTGACTCAAAAGCACAAATTTGCTAAAATAAAAAAAAATATCGAGGCGCTCATAAATTCTACTTGCTATTACGAAGTAACCCACAGCATAAGAATTGACAAGTAATAAAACGCGATTAGGCACAGGTCGGGCACTAATTCTTGCTGAGACACTGGGAGGGGCAGCAGATCCATGTGGAGCCCGGTCCTGCAAACCGGCTTCCACTCAGCCAGCTGGGCACACTTGCCACTCTGCTAAAGTATGTTCTGCTTATAAACACTGTTAAATGGAAAACGCATGCCAATACTGCGCCGTCTTTTCGCTGGCTCTACAATGCCAACTTTTGTTTGTGGCCTAACCCACAATCCATCCCACGCCACATGGCAGGGAAGGCTAGGGCTCGACTGCCGCAAATCGGAAGGATAAATTACCCTTAACATTGAAGCTAATTACTAGGTTCAACGTTGCTCAAAGAAAAAGCAGCCAACGGTGGAAATAGAGACAAAGGGATGTAAATCGTCAAGGATCGTTCAAAGTCCTCAAGTTCGTAGTGGTAAACGTCAAGTCCTCACCTGCACTCACCGAAGGAGCGGATCCAAATCCCGAGCGCAGGGGGATTTGAGCATATTAAAGACACAGAAAAGGCAAAGGTCGCGATAAACGGCAGGTGTTTTAAAGGTTATTTGGGGTCCTGGTCCCCGGGACTCCCTCTATCTTCAAATGTGAGAGTCCAGGCGGCGACCCTCCCACTAGGAACTAACAAGGCTAGTTGGGGGCCTGGTCCTCGGGACTCCCCCTTCCTCAAAACGTGACAGAGTCCACGCAGGGACCCTCTCACTAGGAACCACCGCAGCCGCGGTCGGCTAGTGGCAGTCGGGCCGCCCACGCCGAGGCAGGACCAGGGGTTGCGGGGGGAGGGGACGGAAGGTCCGACCCGGGAGCGGGCAGGAGGCGGCGCCGGCCAGGACTTTCCTTCGCGCCAGAAGGCAGGAAACCCTTGCCCCGCTTGGAGCCAGGCGCGCCCCTCCCCCGGAGGCGCACAGCCACCTCAGCGCACCCGCCGGGGCCACCCCCCAACACCCCACACAAAAGTCCCGGCCTGGACCGCAGCAGCAGCCCGAGTCCAGCCGCTAAGAGGAGCTGCAGAAGCCGCGGACCACGCCCCGCCCTGTCCCGCAGGAGGCCCTGGAGGGCCCTACCTTCTCCGGGCGGTCTGGGCCCCGGGCGCGATCGGCTCGGGCCTGCTGCTCCGCGGCTCCCGCTCTGCTTCTCCCGCGGACTGGTGCGGCCTCCAGGGTCTCGGGCGGCGGCGGCGGCGGCGGCGGCTCCTCCTCCTCAGGGGCGGGAGGAGGAGACGCGGCGGCCGGGAGCCACCTCCCGCAGGAAACGACCCCCGGGGCACCGCCTCCTCGGCCCGGCAGATCCTGCTCCTGAGGGCGCCGCCACCGCCCTCTCCCTCCGGAAACGCATTCCTCCCGGGCCGCGTCAGCTGAGCCCAGGGCAAGGAGAAGAAGCAGGAAGGAAGACTGTGGCCCGGGACAAAGGAGCCTGCCTGGGCGGGAGCGGAGCCTGAAGGAGGCCACGGTGGCGCGGAAGGCCGGGAAAGGAACTCGATCGAGGCCTTGGCAGTGCCTCAGTTTCCTCTTCTGCTAAGGAGGGAGGTGTTGGGGTGTGCACCAGTGCTCCACCTGGTACTGGCGAGTTGTAATATCCTCCTATGAGAAAAGACCGGACTCTCCTGTTAGGCCTACCATAAGTTCTGCTCCCCCACAAGCCGATTTGCTTAGGATTGCCCCGTTTTGAGCACTGGGAGTTCTGCATCCTGGGAACCCCTCTAGTCCAGGGCAAGTCGGAACGACTGGACCACCCACTATGTGGGGCCAAAAACACCGTTTTTCTTTTGGAAAGGAATTAGCTAAACCAATATTGTTTTTCTGGGGTGATAGGTTTGACAAGAAAGAGTTTGCTTAGCGTGTGTCTATGAGAATGCCAATGGCAAAGACTTGGGAAGGAGATTGGTGCCAAGAAAGATGGGGAATGAAGGGAAGTTTTACATAAGAATTGATGGGTGAGAGTTAGTTGCTTTTAATAGATCTATCTGAAGGGTTTATGTCTGGGGAACAGGGTTGAGAAAGAATAATTTAATCTTTGAGGGTACAATTTCTGTTTCTCCCCACTTTTTTCAACCAAAAAAACACTCACTGCCATGGAGTCCATGCCAACTCATAGCCACTCCCTTTGGGGTTTCTGAGGCAGTAGATTTTACAGAAGTAGATTGCCCAGTCTGCCTTCCACAGAGTGGCTGGTGGGTTTGAACTGCCAACCATCTGGTTAGCAGTCAAATGCCTTAGGCACTACTCCACCAGAGCTCATTAACCTTATGGTTAGCAGTCAGATTTTAATAGGTGGAAATGGAACTGAAGAAGGATTATTTAAAAGAGAAGGGAAACCTTATTTATGAGAATGGCAGGGCACACTTTGGTAAGAGGACTGAAAACTGTACCAACCAACATCATACTGAAACCCAGTAACTCAGAACACGCCATCCTGGCAAACTGCCATTCTGTTTGCAGAAATTGTGGGTTACCACCTGATGAGCTACAGCACCCTGTTGGGAATAGAGCTCAAATTAACAACTTTATGTTTGGAAAATTCCCACATTGCTCATTTGCAAAATCAAATCTATTCAGTAGCAGATCTGAAGAATTCTAATAAATAAGCAGTATTTTTCCTACTTAATGGATGACCAAATTTAAGAGGCTTAAATGATGTTTCTATTCAATATCTGAATGGTAAAGCTACCACTAGAACTCAACATCCTTGAAGTAAAAGGTAGTGGTTTACCACTATTGAAAATTAATCACAATTGGCCCAGTCTCAGCACAGAAGACCTGCAGTTGAAAAGATAAACCATAATTCATCTGTGTTTGATTTGCTCTACATTTCCTAGAATTTCCTTTCCTGTTCGTAATTTGGGGAAGCACTAATTGTCCTTGCTACAAGAACATGAGGTTTCCACCAATTGGTAGAAAAGGACATCATGTTTGGGAAAGTAGAGGGTTAGCAAAAAAAGGGAAACCCTTGATGAGATGGATTGACAGAATAGTTTTAACAATGGGCTCAAAATGTACCAAAGGTTGTGAGGATGATGCAGGACCAGACAATGTTTTGTTCTGTTATACATAAGGTCACTTGAGTTGGAACCAACTAGAAGGCAACAACAATAACAAGTTCTTCAAGGGCATTTAATCTTTTCTTTTTTAAATGCCAATGTCAAGCATCATTCCAGCATACCTAATAGGAAGGAGCTCTGGTGGTATAGAGTTAAGGCCTTTGGCTGCTAACCAAAAGGTCAGTGGTTCAAACCCACCAGCTGCTCTGCAGGAGAAAAATGAGGCAGTATACATATTATTTGGTAAAGAGTAAATGGGTTTTGTTGCTTCCCTGGGACTAGGTCAGAGCACTTGGCTAACCTGAAGTACGGGTGGCAATTTACACACAGAAGTCATGAGCTTTGGGAAAAAGAGAAATTAAGCATGTCTTACACAAAAGATGGTGATCAATCAGAAGTATAACTCTACTTGTGATTTCATATAAATATTAATAGATGGAAAGTTAGCTAACTATAGAATTTATGAATACTTCAAGTAGAGATTGGTCATGGTCTTACCATGCCCAACAAAAAATTCTAGTAAGTAGTAATCGTGGAGCTCATATCACCAGATCATGTCATGATAGAACATCTGTTGATAACTTGATTTCAAGACAAATCTATATTTTACCTACACCAGCTCTAATCGTTACAAATTGTCTTCTGCCTAGTTCATTTAAGAAGCTCTGGCGGTTAGGAGCTCTGCTGAAATAGTGCTCAAGGCATTTGACTACTAAGCAGAAGGCTAGCGGTTCAAGCCCACCAGCTACTCCTTGAAAGGAAGACTGGGCAATCTATTTCCATAAAGATACCACCTCAGAAACCTAAGGAGGAGTCTCTATGAGTCAGAACCGACTGGACAGCAGTGAAGTTTTTTGTTTGTTTTTTTTTTTGTTTTTGTGGTGTAGTGGTTAAGGCATTTGGCTACTAACCAAAAGGGTGCTGGTTCAAACCCACCAGAAGAAAGATGGCGCAGTCTGCTTCTGTAAAGATTTACAGCCTTGGAAACCCAATGGAGGTCACCAAGAGTTGGAAATGACTTGATGGCAGTGAGTTTCGTTTGGTTTTAGCTCATTAAAGTCAGCATTATGTCAACTAGAAGTTGGCCTTTCCTCTAGTTGAGCACCATATTACTACATGCTCCTCAAAATCAATATTTATTTTCATACTTTCTTAAAGTTTAAATGTTATATAACATACCCAAGAGATTCCAAGATGCCCAGGTATATTTCAATCAGTTTTTAATCTCTTAATTTCTGTTTGTAATTATAGGCCAAGTTTACATAAATTAAAGGAACATGTGGCATGTAGTTGGGTGCAAAAGAGACAAAACACTTCTTCAGGAACCTGATTATCTCCTTCAAACAGTAGAATCATAGTTTGGTTATTGATATTTGGATCTAATAGATTATGCTTAAAAAAACAAACTCATTGCCATTGAGTCGATTCCAATTCATAGCGACCCCCTTTGGGTTTCCAAGATGGTAAATCTTTACAGAAGTGCGGCTAGTGGGTTTGAACCACTAACCTTCTGGTTAGCAGTCATATGCCTTAGGCACTACACCACCACAGCTCCTTAATAGATTATGCTTATGGGATACATGTTTATGTTTATGGGATACAGAATTGGGAATGAGAGTCATGTTGATTTCAGGAATAGATAGTTATCTCTCTCTCTCTCTTTTTTTTTTTTTTCCTGTTTTTTCTTTTAATTGTAATTTGGGTGAAAGTTGCAGAGCAAATTCATTTTCCATGCAGCAGTTCATACACATTTTGTTTCATGATATTGATTGCAATCCCTATAATGTAACAGCTCTCTTTACACTTCCTCCCTGTGGTTACCTTTTCCCTGTATCCTTTTTTCCAAGGCATTCCTGCCCTCTGAGCTAGCACCCTGTGCACATACTGCCCTTCTGCTCTCCCATGATTAATTCTTCTAAGGAGTGCACCTACCTGGTGGAAATGTTCACATTATATGCCTGTTGAGGAATAGATAGTTATCTCTTGTAGTTTGAACACTCTTGGGACTTAGCCCCTCAGTTATTACCCCCTCCATAAACCATAAATCATCCCATTTTAACTTGAAGCCTTTCAATCTTTGGCAGTGGAATCAATCCTATTTATGTAACACATGGGCAAATGTTTAGCACACATTCATTTCTAAATCATTTCCAAGTACAATAGGCATCAGAGGGCAAGACTCCATGGAGTTAGAATAGAATAGAGCACCCAAGGCCACATTTTTCCTGGAGTTGGTCATTGACTGACATAGTCTGAAACAATCCATACCAGATCATTTTAAATAAGCAGTGTAACCTTGTGTTCTGATATTCTGATATACTCAAGATAGCCTATTTGCTTTTGTCCAAGCATAATTATTTATAGCACCCCTTTTCACGCTGAAAAGTGCATCCTTGTTTGGATGATAAATTATATACCAAACCCACTGTCATGGAGTTGGATCCAATTCATAGTAACCCCTCCTTGGATTTCTGAGGTGGTATCTCTATGGAAGTAGATTGACCAACCTTCCTTCCAAGGAGTGTCTGGTGGGTTTGAACCACCAGCGTTCTGGTTAGCAGTCAAATGCCGTAAGCACTATGCCACCAGAGCTCCCAATAAATTATATGGTCACCCTATAAATAAAGGTGTACTCACAGTGAAAAAAGAGGGGGAATTTTAGAATTGCAAAGGGAATGCATAGGAACACATTGCAAATCAACAGGTGTGGATTACCCAATAAGCAAGGTGAGCACAGGCTTACTTGTGCTTACTTACTAATCTGTAGTAAACAACTTCACATGTTAAACACATGTTCACTACAGATTAGTAAGTAAACACAAGTAAGCCCTTCTTACCTTGCTTACAGGGTACCCTCGATCCCCGTCAAAGATCGTAAATTTGAAAAGAGTCTTTGATTCTGTAGGAAAGTGCTGTGGGTTTGGGAGAGTGACAGATACCAGCCATACCTAGAAGCAGAATCTTTGATATAATGAAACAAATGTAAAATTGTTCACTACAAATTAGTAAGTAAGCACAAGTTAGCCCATGTTTACCTTGCTTATTGGGTAATGTGACATTTTCAGGTTCCAGATTTATAGGTAAGGACCAGTTCCAACAGTAATGATTATAGTAGCCCATTGCGTCAAGTTATTCCAACCCATAAGAGCTCTGGTGGCATAGTGCCTAAGGCATTTGACTGCTAACTAGAAGGCTGGCAGTTCAAACCCACCAGCAACTCCTCAGAAGGAAGACTGGACAATCTA